ATGAGGGAACTTGGGACTGGGGATGTGTTGCAGCATCGTTGGTGCATCATGGGTCTACTCTGGTCCGAAACCTCATCATCCTTATCCTCATTATGCTCATCCTCTTCCTTCCGACCCTCCACCGTCCTCCCACCTTCTCCTCCCCCCTTCTTCCTCTAGCCGCCGGGTGGGTGCTGCAGCATTCGTCCGGGCTGTCAGGGCTCCCGAGATGGAAATGGCAATCCCCTCACTTTGTGGGACCGATCAAGGATGCTCCTCGATGGTCCCCGCCGAAGGAAAAATGCACACGTCCGAGCGATGCCAAGGGACGCTGCCGAGGGGCACCCGCGCTGGCCGCTGGCAGGGCCATACTGCCAGAGGGCATCTTCTCGGGCATCGACGTGCGCGTACTCCTCGTGCGGGCGCCGCTCCACACTTTTCTCTTCTTGGTGAGCCACTTCGGCCCACAGCGAGATCAGAGGCGGAGGGCTCCTCCTGGTCTGGCATCGTGATCGAGCATCGATTCGCTTCAACCCCCACTCTCCATCGTCCTCCTCTATCCTCCCGCTTCCACCACCCCATCCGTCCACGCCACATGCTGATTCCTCCTTCTCTATGCAGGAGGCCCTCGGAGGCGCCGGAAGGGCCCCGGGAGGCCTCCAGGAGGCCCCGCAAGAGGCACCCGAGAGGCGCCCGAGAGGGCCCCCCCAAGAGGCCCCCAAGATGCATCCCCGAGGCCCCCAAGAGCCTCCAGGGGGCTCCGCGAAGCATCCAAGAGACCCCAAGAGGCATCCAAGAGGAATCCGACCCACAACCCAGGCATTGAGGCGGGATGGGCCGAAGAGGCCACTGGATAGGATTCAGGTTCCTCCGAGAAACTACGCCACGTCTTCCAAGTGCATGCTCCTGCCTTTCCTTACTGGATCAGCCCACCTGACGTTGTTAGGCTCCTTCCCTCCCTTCAGTTTCGTACGGAGTCGGCGGCCAAGGCTGCAGTTATATGTGCACATTTGCCACTTATGCATGCAAGTACGGTTGCCAGATGATCTCCTCGCCACCTGCGACCGAACACGATCTCCTTTGAGCCCCTCCGCCCCGCCCCCCATGCTGTACGCTCGCCGCCTCGGCGCGCTCGCTGTTGGAGCGGACGTCCATGGTGAGCATAGTCAGGCGGTCCGAAGAGGAGCGAGAAGTGAGAAACTATAGGCAGAATGAGGAAGCCATACTGTCTCTGAGGATGCGGGGACAAACTGCGAGAAGAAGGGGGCGGGAGACGATGAGAAGGACGCGGAGGACGATGGCGAGGAGGACTGCGACGACGACGAGGAGGCACGAGAAGGACGAGGAGGAGGAGGCAGCGAGGAGGCACGCGCACACTTTGAATACACACGCAGCCCTGCCAATTACCCATGCGTTCTCATCCTCACGACCACTGGCCAGTGCTGCCGTGGATCAGTCCATACTCGCTGGCTCAAAACATGAAATGATGCCACAGGATCTACCAGAGTTCAGCGAAAGAATTGAGCAACCTGCATACCACTTCGCGGACTAGGTATTGTAAAGGAGCTGGTGGAAGCATCGAGTACACCCCCGATCGGGAGACAAAACATGATCGGCCCATGAACCCGGAAAGCGAACTAGCCGTGCGAGGCATGGACACGTTTCGAAAAAGATCGTGGGGGCGATAGGCGCTGGCAATGATGAGTATACTCAAACCGATGGTGATGGCACTGTGGCAAGGGTTGTCAAGTGCTACGCTGCGCCGTGCTGTGTTGAAATGTGCTGTGTCATGTTATGTTGTACTGTGCTGTGATGTAATGCGTTGTACATAGAGTCGTCCTTGGCGTCCGAATTCCCACCGAACTGATCTGGACCTTGAGCTCGAACTGCCTGAACGCATGGCTCTAGACGTGCCAGGGTCGCGCCACGGGATGAGTCAAGGGACGCGCCAGAGAACGCGACAGGAGACGCGCAACAGAAGGTGTGGGGGAACCGCCAGAGGACGAGCCAAGGGTCGCACCAGGACGTGCGAAGAGACGAGCCACGGAACGCGCCACTGGACGTGCCAGGGGACGTGGGCGGTGCCCGCGCCAGGGAACGCGTCAAGGGAAGCGCCATGGGACGCGCCCAGGGACGCGCCCTAGACGTGCCAAAGGACGTGCCATGGGATGCGCCACGGAACGTGAGGGGACGCCCCTGGAGACGAGCCAGGGGACGCGCTAGGGGGCGGGTCAGGGGACGTGCCAGAGGACGTGCCAGCGGACGCGCCAGGGAACGTGCCCAGGGACGCGCCACGGAACGAGCCCAGGACCGCCCACGGGACGTGACATGGGAGGCGACATGGGACGTGCCGCGCGACGCGCCAGGGGCCGCGTCAGGGGGCGTGCCGAGAGACGCTCCCGGGGACCAGCGAGGGGAAGGGACGAGGGACGTGCAAAAGACTTGCCACGGGGCACGTCACTAGGCGTGCCAGGAGACGTGCCGCAGACATGCCATGGGACGCGCCAGGGCACGAGCCAAGAGACGCGCCAGGAAACGTTCCAAAGGACGTGCGCGGGGACATTCCAAGGGGCGTGCCAAGGGGCGCGCCACGTGCCACGTCAGGAGACGCTCCAGTGGACGTGCCACTGAACGCGCCAGGGCGCGCCGCTGGGACGTGCCAGGGGGCGTGCCAAGGGATGCTCAAGGAACGTGCCGGGGGACACGCCGCGGGACAGGCCACGTGGACGGGCTGAGGGACGCGCCATGAGACGTGTTAAGGGATCTGCCGGAGGACGTGCCAGGGGGCCTGCCAAGAGTGACTGCCAGGGGCGAGCGACGGGACGTGTCGATGAGAGTGCGAAGTGGTGGCCCAAAAAGGAAGCTCCGCGGGATGAGCCAGCGCACGCGCCAGGGAGCGTGCCGGGGCCCCCAAAAATGACACCGGGTCCGCGCTCCCGGGGCCACGATCACTTGCAACTCACGCTGCGTCCGCGCTCCAGGGCAAAGATCCCCGGAACATGGCGCTGGGCCTGCGCTCCCGGGGCCACGGTCCCCTGCGAGTTCCGCTGCGCCTGCGCTCCCGGGGGCCCGATCCCGTTTCAATTGCGCCGCGTCCGCCCTCCCGGGGCCACGAGCCTGCGTAACTTGCGCTGGGCCCGCACTCCCAAGGCCACGACCCCGCGAGACATTCTCAAGGCTCTGGGCTCCCAGAGGGCCTCCTGGGGCGTGCAAGTGCCACCTGGGGCTTCCTGGGCCCTCCGCATCCCGCTGTGTAGTGAAGATTCTGCGCGGGGGCGCGCCATCCTCGTGCGCGCCGTGACAACGCACGTTGTTGCATGTTCTCCGAGCCCCCAGACCCCGCAATCCGTTTAGGAGCATGCGCGCAACAATCCGCGCCCTGTTGTATAATGTTAGCCAGCGTGTACCCCAGAAACTGAGTAATTGAACTGTGGAGGTGACAGATATGCGGTGCAAGCACTGCGATGTAAGCTATGTCGCATTACTTATGTGGTGTGAGCCGTGGGAGGAAAAGGTATGACTCGGAAAACATGCATACGTAGATGGTGCAAGATGGGGGTGCACGGTATGCGGCGGTGTAACCTAGATGGCGCAAGCTACGTTCGGCGGTGGACAACCCTCCCTTTAGTAAACTTCCCCCTCGTGAAAACGGCCTAGGACCGAAACCGACGGGCCTGGACCCGCAAAAATGACGGCCGCGACGCCCTCTCGCGAACCGAACACGGCCAACTCTCCGAATCGACGTGTCAAGGCAGGAGGTCTGTCAACCTCCGATACGTGGTACAAGCTGTGCGGTGTAAGCTCTGTGTAAGCTCAACGCACGGGGCGCCCACGAGCGCCCCCGAGGCGGCACGGGCGGCCACGCGGCGCAGCCTTGGCGGACCCACCCGGCGCACGGGGCGCGCCCGCGCGCCCGCGAGGAGCAACGGGCGGCAGCGCGGCGCGCTGTCGGCGGACCTGCCCAACGCACGGGGCGCCCACGAACGCCCACGAGGCGGCCCGACAGGACGCGACCTCGGCAGCGCCTCGGGCGCCCACGAGCCCTCACGAAGCGGCACGGGCGGCAACATGGCGCAACCTCGGCGGACTCACACAGCGCACGGAGCGTCCACGAGCGCCCCCGAGGCGGCACGGAGCGGCAGCGTGGAGCACCCTCGGCGGACCCATCCACTTGCTCAAGGAACCCAAATCAGAAACCCTGAGGGCAAGCACTGCTTGGGGACTCAGGGAAACGGTGAGCTGCGGACCCCGTTAGTTATCGACGTCGACGATACGATGAGGGGGGCGTGCTTCCTCGAGAGGGCACGTACGGAATGCACTTTTTCAAGGAGCATGCCCGCACCTTTGATCGGCCCACGAACCCGGAAAGAAACGTAGATTAAAGCATGGCAGCGTGTTCAAAACATCTGATACGGCGACGGACACTTGCAATGCTGAGTGTACCAATGGTGATGTACGCCGTGCTGTGCCGTACTGAGCTGCGATGTGGCATGCCGCGATTGAGCTCTATAGCGTTGTGGATGGAGTCGCCCTTAGCACCCGAATCCTGATCGAAATGGATCTGGATCGTATGCTCGAGCTGTTTGAACGCATAGCTGGCCCAAAGCTGGTTGCGATCGAAACGTCCGGAACGCTCAACGAGCTCGATCGCAAGGTCCGGCTCGTTTCCGAAACGGGACGAGACGACACGGGGCGCAGCAGGGACGCGCCACGGGATGTGCCAGGGGCGCTCTAGGGGGTGCGCCCGGAGACCTGTCAGGGGACGCATTAGGGGACGTGCCCTGGACGTGTGAGGCACCTGCCACGAGACGTGCCAAAGCGCGTGCCATGGTCCGTGCCATAGGACGCCATGCCACGGGACGACCCAAGGGACGCCCCAGGAAGCGCGGCAACGGACGCGCCAGGGGGCGTACAACCCCCGTTGGAGACAGCCAGCGAGTTTTCAACCCTCCGACCCCTTGTGCTCCTTCCTCCCGGGCAAGCTTGGGGCTCAGGTACAAGGGGAGTCTAGCCCAGGCGAGCGTCACGCGCCTTCGCCCGAGTCGGCATGCGACTCTGCCCAATCGTGCTGGGCAGGCTGGGCGGAGCGCATTATGCGCAAGCTCCCCTCTTGCCCACCCTGCCGGGGCTGACCCCTGCCATCTCCAGGAATTGGTCACCTGCTTTTGCGCCCCCCCCTTTGGATCGTGGATCCCACTCCCCTCGGGGAACACTACCAGACCCGAAGATAGCAAGCGATTGCACCTCCGCCCAGCATTCTGGCAACCCTTCAGGCTCTGCGATGCGGGCCTTCTTCGCCACCATCTCGTTGAGCCTGCCGTGGAGCACCCTTGGCAAGGATTCGACCCGCTCGCCGCCACCAGCAGCTCGTACGATCCCCCCCAGGTCCGCGAGGGCGACCTCCACATCGCACAATTGCGCGCTGTTCCCTTTTTCTTGCAGGCGGCTTGGCACCAGTAGACCCCACCTCACGCATGGTCTGCTCCACCTCAAGCACGTCCTTGCGATGCTGGCCGAGCTGCGCATCTCCCTTCTCGATCTCAGCCTGAAGCGCATCGATCTGCTTCGTATTGGCCGCGACAGCGGCCTCGGCCTTCTCGGTGCGCGCCGTAATCCGCCCCAGCTTCTCGCTGATGCCATTGAGCTGCGCTGAGGCGGGCTGCGCGCCGCCCAACTCCGCAAGAGTGCCAGCGTGCTCCTTCTGTAGCTCCGCCCGGTAGGCCAAAGCACCCTCCGAAGCATCGTCCTTGGTGCACTCGAGACTGCCGTCGATCTCGGCAAGCCTCTGTTTCTTCGCCCCCGCTTGGGAGCAGCCTTCATCAACAGCCTCCGTTGCCTTGGCCTGGGCTGAGCTGCGCTCCCAAGCTTCTCGTTCCTTGTCGGATGCAGCCTGCATCTGCGGTATGCGAAACTCTATTCGCTTGGTAAGCTTCTCCACATCCGTAACCTGCTTCGACGCGCCCCATTTCTGCTGCTTCGCAGAGGTTGAGGGCGCCTGCTGCTGCACATGTTCAATGAAAGCTGCAGCCTTGCACGTTTTGCACCTGGTGCACTCCAACTTCTCCGCCCCATTGATACACGGCAAGCCTGTAGGCTTGTGGACACAAACCTGCACTTCCACCTCTGGTGACGGTCATCCCTGATCCCACCATTGTGCAATTCCATCGACACAGTGTGAGACCGTCGGAGGTGCGAGCCCGAACGGACTCAGAAAGAAGCTCGCAGCCTGGGCGAACAGGCTGAACGGACAATCGGTAGCAAGCCGCGGACTGGCGGTATCCGTTTTACTGTCGGGGACAGCCAAAACCTTGAGCCAAAATGGCTACGGACGCTGCGTCCGCGCTCCCAAGGCCACGAGCCACGATCCCCCGTGAACTACGCTGCGTCCGCGCTCCCAGGGCCAGGATCCATCGTACACTACGCTGCTCCCCCCAGGGCCACGATCCTTTGTAAATTACGCTCTGCCCGCCTCCCCAAGGGCCAGGATCACTTGTAGATGACGCCGCGTCCGCGCTCCCAGGGCCAGGATCACTTGTACATTATGCGGCGTCCGCGCTCCCATGGCCACGATCCCTGGTAAATAAAGTCTCTTCCGCACTCCTAGAAGCACATGGGCATTCTGGGGCGCCGACACCACTCAACTGCTGCAAACTAAATGCTCGGCTCGAGACATCCTCGAGGATTCTGCGCGCAGGACGTGCCATCCTCGAACGGCCACGCACATAATTAACGCGTTCCACTCTGATGAATTTCAAACTCCTAGACCTGGTCATTTGTAGAGGATAATGTGCAAAACGCCTTGCATTTTGGGGGGAGGAAATTCGACTAGAAATTCGACAGCCCCTGCCCAACATGGCAACAGGAGACAAGCTTACGAACTGAAAGACAACCTTAGGCCTCCGCCCTTATGGGAAAAAAACAATCCGCACGGCCACCTCGACCCTATTGTCGATCGACCGGAAATCCGGCCTGGATCGCCTCGGACATGGCACCGGGGACAACTTACCAACCAAAAGATCCCTGGGCCGACTTTCTGTTAAGGCACAGACCCAGACATCCGGCCGCTCCAATTCGCCGGCCCAACGGGCCAGAGGCGTGCTAAGATCTCCGGTAACTTGTTAACAATATTTCTAGTTCGCGCGCGCGGAGCGGCCCCTGGGGGCCCCCGGACGAAAAGTACCCCGGCAAGGTCCCGAGAGAAGCCCGGGAGAAGCCACCAGACCACTCCAGGGGAGGGTATTTTTCGACACCCCTCACGAGGATCGTGGCCTCCGAGGGGGGAGCCGCAATCGACTACCCCCAAGAGCCCCCCAAGAGGCCCTGGGGGCCTCCAAAACGCCGCCAAGGAGCCCCAAGAGACTCCCAAGAGGTCCCCAAGAGGCCCCCAAGAGGCCCTAAAGAGGGCTCCAGGGCCGGCGGCATGAGCGAAGCGATTAATTTTTCGATGCGTGGGCCCCGAAGGTCCGGACCCGGTTTTTCGTCCTGGCTCGTTTTGTTTACGCTCCCGAGGCCTGGCGAAGGCCCGCGGAGGCCGAAAACAGCCTCAGATCGCCCGCCCCGATTGTTTCGCAGCGTCGGATCTCTGTGGCCCCCGGAGGCCCGAAAACGGCCCAAAGTCGCCCGCTCCAATGTTGTCTAGGGGACAAACAAACCTACCCCGCTTTCGACCACCCTCGCTTCCAAGAGATACCAAGCGATGCCAAACTACGGCCTGTACTGGTCATGCCGCTTGACGAGGAGGCGCGTGGTATGACTTGGTTTTGCCTGGAAGCGAAAGCGGGGTAGGTAATTCACGCTCTGATTGTCGCAGCGTCGGATCTCTGGGGGCGAGGATCGACGCGGTGGAGATCTGCAAGCAGCAGGGCTGTAGGCCAAGAGCGCTGCACGAGGCGGGGCAGGGCAGCCCGGGCGGCGCAGCACAGGGCAGGCGGGGGCCCGCGCAGGCGGAGCGTGCCAGCGCTCGGACGTTCATTCGCCGTGCCTGCTTCGATTCCGTGCGCGTCGTTGTGCTCCACGATCCAGGATGCTCCTCGATGGTCCTCGCCGAGGAAGAGTGCAGGGGCCCTGGGACACACAAGTAAATATACACAAAGAACAGGATTCCCCAAATTTTCTCCTAGCTTCTGGTATTTTGTCTCCCCCCCACTTCCCACAGTTTCCCATACATATTGTCTGGGGGATCGACGATTAAATTGTGTCTGTGTCTTTTCTCCCTCCGGGAAAGAACATGCACACGTCCGAACGATGCCAAGGGAGAGTCGGGGCGGGCGAAAGGGGGGGATAGCAAAGGGGGGGGGTGAGAATCAGCTCGCGCAGCTGATTTTCCCAGCGCCTCCCGGCGCCGGGAGGCGCCCATGTATCGAGGAATGGGCCCGGCGGGGCCGAAACCAGCTGCATGCAGCAGATTTCGTAACCCCCCCTTTCCCTATCCCCCCCTTTCGTCCTGCCCGAGAGATGGGGGGGCACGAGGACGCCACGCGCCGGGCGATGCAGGGCGGGGCCAGGGGCGGAGCCGCGCGGCGCAGGGCACGGCGAGGGGCAGGGCAAGGGGCAGAGCAGGGCTGGGGGACGGGGCAGGGCAGGGCTCGACCTCACCAGCGTCTCTCGCTCTCGCTCTGCGGTCTCCCTCTCCCTCGCTCGGTGCTCCCTCCGCCCTCGCTGCCCAACGGGGCCGAAAAGAACACGGCGGAATCACTCGCCAGAACACCGGGCAGGTCGGGCCCTGGGGCAGGGCAGGACGAGGCGCCGCGCAGGCGGGGGCGCAGGAAGGGCGCAAGCACGGCCAGAGCAGGCGGCGGCCGGCGGAGCGCGCCGAGACGGAGTTCAGGGTGGCGGCGGCCGCCTTCTCGCGCAGCTCCTGCGCGCGCGCGTTCCTCCCCCCATCCACGGCCCTGCGCAGCGAAGCGCCTGCCCCCACTGGGCGCCGGCACCGACCGCCTCGAGCAGCCGGGGGAAGGGGGCACTCGTCCTCCTCCTCCTCCTCCTCCTCCTCCTCCTCCTCCTCCTCCTCCCGAGGGGAAAACGTCAGGGGAGAACTGGCGCAGGGGGGGAACATCGACGTGGAATCGGCGGTACAGAAGGGCCCTAAATAAGGAACGAGGCCCCTTTTCTCCAGAAGTTGAACTTCGATTTCCCTTCGAAAACCTAAGGAAAACCCAAGGCAAGCTGTGAAACACTCAAGGAACACGGAGCCCCTCCCCAACGAAAAGGGTTCCTTCTTCAGGATCCCGACGGTGCATCGCCGACAGATCGGCGATTGGCCCCCGCATGGGCGTGGTGGGCCATCCGGGCCCCTATCGCCGATCCATGGGCGACTGGGGGTCGCTGTGTCCTCCCCTAAGCCGATCCCCCCCAACGGTGCCCCTCCTCCTCCTCCCCCCTCCCCCTCCCTCCTCCCTCCTCCTCCTCCTCCTCCTCCTCCTCCTCCTCCTCCTCCTCCCCTCCTCCTCCTCCTCCTCCTCCTCCTCCTCCTCCTCCTCCTCCTCCTCTCCTCCTCCTCCCTCCTCCTCCTCCTCCTCCTCCTCCTCCTCCTCCTCCTCCTCCTCCTCCTCCTCCTCCTCCTCCTCCTCCTCCTCCTCCTCCTCCTCACTCTCCTCCTCCCTCCTCCCTCCTCCTCATCATCATCATCATCATCATCATCCATCACCATCGTCATCATCATCATCACCATCACCATCACATCATCATCATCATCATCATCATCATCATCATCATCATCATCATCATCATCATCATCATCATCATCATCATCATCATCATCATCATCACCACCACCACCACCACCATCATCATCATCATCATCATCATCATCATCATCATCATCATCATCATCATCATCATCATCATCATCATCATCATCATCATCATCATCATCATCATCATCATCATCATCATCATCATCATCATCATCATCATTACCATCATCATCATCATTATCATCATCATCACAATCAGCATCAGCATCATAATCATGTTCGTCATCATCATCAGCATCATCATCAACATCCTCATCATTCTCCATTATTCTTCCTTATGAATAGCTCCTCCCTGTCTCACCCCCAGATATGTCGGTAGGACAGGCCAGGCGTTTCGCCTAAAGACTTCATCACCATCTCTGATCCTGGAAATCGAAATATGCAGCAGCTGCATGGATGCAAGCCGCTCCGTTACAAAGTGTGGTTCTCGCATGAGCGCCGCACACATTCGTCTAAAGTTTGCAGCAAAAGTTTGACGGATGGAGGGATGGTGGTTTCCGAAATGTGGCTCTCGCCTTAGCAGGGCGCAACTTTGCCGTAAATTTGTGCAACAACTTCAAGAATGCAAGGCGGCTGATTTTGAAAATGTGGCTCTCGCCTAGCGCCGCGCACATTCGTCTGAAAAGATCGCAACCGAGTCAAGGATGGAGGGTGGGTCCTTCCCGAGAGGTGGCTCTCGCCTCAACGCCGCGCACATGCGTCGTAAAGTTCGCAAGAGCTTCAAAGATGGAGGGCGGGTTCTTCTCAAAATTTGACTCTCGCCCTAGCGCCTCGCACATTCGTCAGAAATGTTTGCAACGCTTCAAGGATGCAAGGCGCATGATTTTCTTCACAATGTGACTCCGCCACAGCGCCGCGCACATCTGTCCTACAGCAATGCGCAACAGCTGCAAGGATGGAGGGCGGCTCATTTCGAAATGTGGCTCTCGCCTAGCATCCAGCGCGCTCGTCTTTCAAAACTGGAGCAGTTTTAATGATGAAGGCGGCTCCTTCTCAAAATGTGTTTCTTGCCGTAGCGCCGCGCACAATGGTTGTCAAAAGTTAAAGCAGTTTCAAGCAGTCGAACTGTTGAAGTCCCAGGGATGGCGAGGACGTAGCAGTCACGCTGATCGCGGTGATGAAATCCCAAAAACGGTGGTCTAGCATGGTTTAGGGTTGTCAAAAAACAATCACGTGGATTAGCTGCGTTGAAGTCCCGAACTACTTCCCTCCATGAAAGCAAGTTCTTGAAGGGCGCTATTCATGCGTCTTGGGTTTACCCTGGTCCTCCTCCTCCTCTTCCTTCTTCTCCTCCTCCTCCTCCTCTTCCTCCTCCTCTTCCCGCGGTGCTTGTGCGGACGATTGATTGGGGTGGCGGGGCCCTAGAGCCTTGGCATCATCCTGGAGGGCCCGAGGCCCGGAAACCGCTGCCGCTGCGCCCGAACGCAGCGCGGTCACCTCGGAGGCGGCGCGGGGCGGGGCTTCAAGCTGCACGCCGGCAGTCCCTGGAGGTAGTAGCCCTGCAGGGCGGCATCGACGGCGACCACAGGACAGCGTCGTCTATCCGTGAAAGTAGACGGGAGACTCTTGTTGTGCTTCTTCTCGATTGGTCGGGCTTTGCACGCACCAACCCCAAGCGCTGGCTTTAACTACGCACAAGAGCAGCTCTAGCCAAGGGTGACCGTTGGCGCGAGGTTTACAGGGGCCTCAGGGAGGCCCAGTCCAGGCGCGCACGCCTGCGTTGGTGAAGCGCTCTGCGGGCCCGAGCCAGAAGAAAGGGTCACTCTGGCGAAGGGCTGCTCATTGTGCGCAATGCGCCGAAGGCTGGTCCCAACCGGCCTCCAAGGCAAACTGGGGCGGTATCAGCACCCCTGCGCCGCCTTCGGCGGCGCCTCTCGGGGATCCGCTGACCCGGGCCAATCCAGACCCGGGCCAGTCGGGCCTTGCAGCGTCCTGCAGGATCCTGCACCCAAGCCCGGGTCAGCACGACCCTGGCCCTGCAGGATCCTGAAAGATCCGGCAGGATCCTGCACTCAAATCCAAGTCAATGCGACCCTGGAGCTGCAGGATCCTGCAAGATCCGGCGCTCTGGCTGACCCCCGTTTGCATTGACCTCCGTCTCTTGAGCCCCGAGCCTCCAGGGCGTCCCGCGCTCCGGGGCAAGGGCGCTGTGGCCGCCCCAGACCACCCTGGGGGGCCTGCTGGGGCCAGCCTGAAATAGTCAAAGCTGATAGCAAGGATGCACGACAAGGATGCAAGGGCCCTGGAGGGCCATGCCGGCACTCTTCGAGGCGGGGCGCGGCCAACGTAAGTGGCCAAGGATGGGCCGAAGGGAAAGGATGTAAGGCTACCCTTGGGCAGGCTACCTCTCCTCACTATCAGTGCTGACTGTACCCCCAGGGGCTCGCTGCGCGCAACCCAACCCACCTGGCCAGCGTGGGCCCGCTCTGCTGCGAGCCAGTGCCCCGCGACGTGTTCGTTCGTTCGCTCGGCGGCGAGCGGGGGGGGGAAGTGGGAAGGAGAAGGCCTTCTCGGAAGGCGGCGGGACTTCTTAGAAGCGTTCTGGCCTGCTGAGAAGTCTTCGGTGCCTCCGGGGAAGGGTTCGAAAACTTCTCCGGAGGCCTTGGGGACTGCCGAACCTTCCGAGAAGGCCCGGCCCTTCTCACTCCCCCCCCAGGCCCGCCGCCGATTCGTGCCGTCTCCTCCTGCGCCGTCGGCGCGCGGTGGTTGTGCGACACGGGGGTCTGTTTGGGGCCGCCGGCGCTCACGGTCGAGACGTGGCCGCGGTCACCAGGGTCATGAACAGGGGCGCCTCCGCCGAAAGCCCAGGACCCCATGGGGATGCCACAAACGAAGAGCGCCCCAAGAAGAAGAGCCAAAGCACGAGGACCGTAAGGGTACGGCAAATTCGTGTCTTGACGTCGTCGGCGTTGGTTTCTGACACTCCGTGGGCCGGTCAACCTTGATTGAAAGAGGCTTTCCCATAATTAGCGCAGCTCGCTCGGGATTGGCCAAATCCGGGCCACTGGCGGCGTTCAACCTTGAACGCCCGCGCTGGGGTCGCCGCCGCGTCGACACGACACGAACCTACCGTGCCCCTCCAAAGATAGCGCTGCTCTCAGCCCTCATGCCAGCCGTATTGCCAGACCCAGAGTGCCCCAAGAGACCTGGGCTGCCATTCGTGTAAAGAGGCCTCTCCTCATATGGGGTCGGAGTAGATGGGGCTGGAGGATCGCACCGAACCGTCGGTGCATCACCGATGCATCGGCGATGCATCGGCGACGTCGGCGATGCTTCGGCGACGTCGGCATGGAGAAGGTCGGGCTCCACGTCGGGCCGCATCGCCAATGCATCGGCGATGGGGCGCGATCCTCCGACCCCATCTACAGTCGAAACACGGCCACAGGAACGTGGGTCACGAACACGAGCCCCGCTGCGAAGGCCCAATGTGCCAAGGAGACACTTCAGACGAAGAGCATTCCCAGGTGGAGGACCCAATCACCAAGAACATAAGGGTACCTCTCGAGAGTTTTGTAGCATGTTCGGTCCACTGCGATCCTCCAGGGGTAATCATGGGACCTCTGGGGCCCTCCTGGGACCTCTGGAGGCCTCAGGAAGACCTCGATCGTCGCCGCCGTAGTCCCCGTCCTCCTCCTCCTCCTCCTCCTCCTCCTCCTCCTCCTGCTCCTCCTCCTGCTCCTCCTCCTCCTTTTCCTCCTCCTCCTCCTCCTCCTCCTCCTTTTCCTCCTCCTCCTCCTCCTCGTTCTCCTCCTCCTTCTCCTCCTCCTCGTCGTCCTCCTCCTCCTCCTGCTCCTCCTCCTCCTGCTCCTCCTCCTCCTCCTCCTTCTCCTCCTCCTCCTCCTTCTGCTCCTCCTCCTCCTGCTCCTAGAAGCTGGATGCAGAACCGCCGAGCCACAACGACGAGGTGAGGCCCCCGAGCGGCGCTGGGTTCCGCGGCGCGCGGCAGGGCCTCTGCCGCCCGACGCCAGGGAGGCACGGAGTCTCGGGACGACGGTGCAACGCCACGGCGGGGCCTCCCGACCTCGATCACAACGATGACAGCGATCACAACGATCACAACGATCAATGCTTGTCTCCTGCTGTGCCCAGTGATTGTGGTGATCGTCGTGATCGAGATTGTGGCCATCGTGATCGCTGTTGTCGTCGTCATCCTTGTCATCGCTGTCCCTGTGTGATCTCGCAGCCCGGACCCGTCCGCGCAAGAGCCCCCGGGGCAGGGAGGACGGGCAGAAGACGGCCGTCGACGACCCGGGGGGCGCACGGAGACGAGGCCCCATACGCGCAGGGGCGAGGGGCGACGACGACGACGACGACGACGAAGACGGCAACGGCGGCGACAATGACGACCGTCCGATGCCCACACAGATCCACGTGGGAACGTCCCAGGCTCCTCCTGCAACCTCTGCAGCTCGGAGGCCACGCGGCCGTCGAGCGCCTAGGGACAGGTGCGCGGAGCCGCGACGGCAGGCGGGGAAGAGGTTCGCTCTTTGTCTGGGGAGAATGGAGCCACGGATTGCGCGAGACCGCCGCCAGGCGTGGCAGAAGCTGCCTGGGAAAGAATTGCCGCTGGCAGAGAAGAACGCGAGGCCAACCGAGAACTGCACTGCGACCACTGATGCGATACGAGAGAGCAGTCCCCGGCAAGCCGTGGCGATCTACACGGTCGCAGCCGGGAATCGAGGCTTCGAGACGCTTTTGGCCCTCGTTGGGTCTGCGCTCCCGCGCGATGCTGGAATTTGTACGCGGCCAGCTCCAAAGATGGTGACTTCTCGTTATTACTTCTGCTGCCTCCCGCTGACTTTTGTTTTGCTTTCGCTGCTCCATCTTGTCGCTGGAAGTCACAGGCCACATGCGCAAAGGAACATCGAACTTACATATGTGCATATACACACACGCCACATGCAGATGATCGCCCCACGAACATGGACGTGTATATATATACAGGTATACACATACATATACATATAAAAACATCTGTATATGTAGATGAGCATACGCATATTATGTATTACGAACTGTCCGAAATTGGGCAATGGGCAGCGACAGTGCTGAGGTTGTCCATGATAATAACAATGATATCGTGCCAAAGGCTGTGCTGTACTGCGCTGCGCTGTAATTATCGTCCTGCGCCGTGCTCTCCTGAACTGTACTGTTTCAAGCTGTGTTGAACTGTGCTGAACTCTTCCAGCGTGCCGTGACATGCCGAATGCGACAAATATGCTGCATCGTGCCGTGCCGCGCCTACGTTCTAGAATGCGAAAAATATGCCGTACCGTGCCGTGCTGTGTCACGTCTGGGTTCTAGAATTCGAAAAAATGCCGCACCACCGTGCCCGCATGCCTTGCCGTGCTGTGCAGCGCCCAGGTTCCAGAATGCAATTGAGGCGCTGCGTCGCGCCGGGGCTCTAAGATGCGAGACATGTGCGTGCCCCGTGCCTGCGTTCCAGAGTGCGAAGAACGTGCCGGACGGTGCCGCGCCGCGCCGCAGCCGCGTCCCGTGCCGTGCCTCTCGGTTCTAGAGCGGGAACAGACGTGCCGTGCCCGCATGGCGTATGGCGCCTAAGTTCTAGAACGGGAGACGTGTGGCGTGCCGCGTCGTGCCGGCGTGTCGCGCGGAGGTGCTGCACAATGCGGGAGAATAACAGCTGTGCCGTGCCGTGCCCGCCTGCCGTGCAGTGCCGTGCTGCGCCTAAGTTCCAGAATTGGGCAGTCGAAACATGCCTTCTCCTCCTCCTCCTCCTCCTCCTCCTCACTCACTCACTCACTCACTCACTCACTCACTCACTCACTCATGGCGGTCGAGGGTGCTCCTGTAGCCATGCCCACCTTTCCTGCCCCTCCCACCCGGCAAGGACCTGGGTGGAAGGGGGGCTCATCAGGGAAAAGATGAGAAAACGGAAAACGAAGCGAAATAGAGAGCATCCTCCTCCTCCTCCTTCTCCTCCTCCTCCTCCTCCTCCTCCGCCTTGCCGTGCCCGCGCGCCGTCCCATGCCGTGCCGTGGTCCTTCTTGCAGCCCCGACTCATCCACACCAGGCAGGACCTTCCTGATGCCGACTCACCGTGTGGGTTCTCGCGAAGCGTTCTATTTGGGGCCCGTGTGCATCGTGTAAGCTTTGATCAACGACGTTGCAATACGATTCCCCAGACACTCGTATGTTGTGAGGATGCCTCAGACGAAACGACTGCTTACGTAACCTGTTCAAATGGAAGGGAACCGCGTGATGCTCAAGAGGCTGTGCGAGAGCGTGCAACAACATCAAGATCACATATCACCTTGGCTATATCCCCGAACGTCCACTGGAGACAACTATGGGCACACGCTCCCCGAATGACCACAGGGAGACAATAATGGACACACGGATCGCACCCCAGAAAAAACTGCCAAACCGCCTCTTGTACCATCACCTGGCACCTCTTGGGGAGCTGCAGCTACGACCGACAATGGCGAGCAAGGAGCGGAAGATACGCGAGAATGAAAAAATGCAGAAGGAAGATCAACAGGCCAGCGCAACCCAAGAGTCCCCAACTGCTTTATGTAGGAGGGCTCGGGACTGACACGGATAACGGAGAATACAAGTCGCGTGTCAACCGAGCCCGATGCTGAAAAACTGCCTTTACCGAACCTCCGGAAAAGGAACAAAAAGGTAGAAGCCCTTCGTGTTCGACTCCGTGTTCGCCCCCACACCCTCCCCCCATATTCAAAATTGGGTCGGTCCTAGTGGACGCCCTGGGGGGTCCATTTTTTCTGTCCTCTCACGCCTGTGCTGCCGAATGCTTGGGACCAAATTTGAATCTGGGGGGAGGGGGGGGCGAGAGCGTCGGGGCCCTGCCAGAGGCCGCGAATCTTGTGAATTACCCATGGGAGCGATTTCCAAGCCCGGGCTGGGGGAGACACTCCTTCCTCCCAGCGGCGTTTCAAGAGGAGATGGAATTACACTTAACGCCTACGAGAATCGCCGGCACGTCCACGATACGGGTTGTCGGAGCCCTCACAGAGGTCGAACTGATGGCACAGCTCGTCCTCCATCTTTCCAAGCCGTTCGCTCCAAAGACATTCACAGGTTGAGGTCTCCAGTGCTCCCAAGAGCCCAAGACCAACGGTGATCCAGAGGCCTCTGGCTGCACGCAATGGGGGCCTTGGTCGGCGACGTTTTCCAGGCCACTCTGGCATGCACGGGGATCCTGAGCGAGAACCCTCTGAGCGTGAGCTGGAGAGGGGTATGCGGACCGCGTGGTGCAGTACTAAGAGGGATAATACTCTGAACAGCCGAGGACAGCCCTCGCGACACAATGAAATTGTCCACGCAAAGGGCCTTGCTAACACCGCTGGAGAAGGTGGCCGTGCCGGGGGCAACGATCGAGCCGTTAAGCATCTGGACCCACTTGACTAGACCAGGGGTGCCTGGCGGCATGTTGAAATCACCTGACAAAATCCAGGGCACCTGATAGTTCTTCAGATAGGTCCCCAGGTCCCCTAAGAGCTCCAGGTTGTCTCAATTGCACCCCTACCCGTCGTACCCATAAAGGCGACCGAGAGAAACCCCGAAACCACCATGGCGTCTACTTTCCTCTTCTTCCTCCTCATCCTCGTCTTCCTCCTCCTCTTCCTCCTCCTCCTCCTCCTCCTCTTCCTGCTCCTCCTCCTCCTCCTCTTCCTCCCCCTCCTCCTCCTCCTCCTCCTCCTCCTCCTCTTCCTCCTCCTCCTCCTCCTCCTCCTCCTCCCCTCAACCTGAATAACCTCTGCCTCCTGCCCATCGCCATCATCGTCGTTCACCTCATCAGCACCTTCCGCACCTTCCCCTCCGCATCGTCCCCGTGCTGATGAACTGCCCTCCAGATCCTTGTCATCCAAACTTCTCTCCCCGTCGCCCTAAGTACGATCTTCCTCGCCCCCCCTCCTCACTGTTCGCGCCCTCTTCTCCCGTCGGACACGCCTCCAGATCCAACTCCTTCGCGGATGTCTTTGCGAGAGCGTCGATCCTGCCGGACTGGACGATGATCCCGGTGTCCAGAGTGCTCTTGTCAGCCGCCTGCCCCCCCCGTCGTTTCGCGCGCGCTCCAGCGCCATGACAGACGAAATGCGGACAGCATTCGTCCTCCTCCTCCTCCTCCTCCTCCTCCTCCTCTTCCTCCTCCTCCTCATCATCCTCCTCCGTAGCCATTCTGGCTCAAACAGGCTGCACACTCGATACCGTATTGCCCTTCTCTTCGGCTTGCGCACCCCTTACTCACGAATGGTTTCTCAGGATGCTCGTCCGTGGCGTCAGGAACGGCCACGCGTACACCTATCAGTCGTCCGCGCCGCCTCTCAGCGTCCTCCCGCCGCCGCCGACCAGGGCTGGTTCACGGCGGCAGGGCGCAAGCAGCTCATCACGTGCATCGCTTGCGGCTGCAAGAGGAACACCCAGGGCTACCTCTGCTGCAAGCGTTGCGGCTCGGCGCTCAAGAACGGCCAGGAAGAGCCCAAAAAGGACATGGCCGTGGACACAGGCTCCTTCGCCGACGGCAGGGGCAAAGGCAAGGGCAAAGGTAAGGAAGCGGCTGCCCCGCCTCCCCTGGAGCCCGGCCCGCTCCCCGCGAACTCCGCGACGAAGGTCGCGGAGCTCGCGCCGCTGGCCCAGGCTGCTGGGGACACGGAGGGCGCCAACCGCTACCGAGAGCTTGCGGCGCGGGCGCCCCCGCCACCTGCTGAGCCGCCCCTGCGCGACAAGTGGCAGCAGGCCGAGAGTCGCCGGGCTGAGCTGGAGGCAAGCTGCTGGCGCAGCACACCAAGCTCGGGCATCGCGTCCATCTCCAAGGAGCTCGAGGAGGCCAACCGGGGGGTCACGGACTCCCTCGCGGCCACCCAGACCCATTCCCAAAACGGGGGGCCAGGTCAAGGCTGGAGAAGCCTCGCCTGGCCTCAGCCTGCGAGCACTCGTCGAGGGCACGGTGAACCTCACCCACGTGCTCACCATCGACGATTTCATGGGCACCGCCGTCATCGAAGCACAGTGTGACCTTGAGGAGTCCGACAAGGAGGAGCTACGGCAGCGGAAGGAAGCCGCCGCCAAGGAGGTCCACTCCGCCCTCGCCGCGGTCTCCCAGGGCGCGACGGACAAGGCCCCAGAGCACCCTGCGGGGCCACGAGCGCCACGTGGCTAGGCTCGAGGGCGAGAAGCGGAAGGTCGGGGACGAGGGCGCCACCTCCAGCGCCGTACCAGGAGGCACCGCCGCTGCGGGCCAGGGACCAGCGAGCTCGGCTCAAGGCGCCCCCCGCTGCTTGCGCGGCCGCGCCTGCTGCTGCTGCTGCACCTGCTCCTGCAGATGCTCCTGCTCACCGCAACATCCGCGACAAGCCCAAGGACGACCTCGAGATCACCAGCGCCAGAGGTCGTCCTTAACGCCGACCTCCACGTCGCGAGCGGCGAGCCCCGGCAGCTCGCCGAGCTGTCCGACGAGGCCGCCCTGTTCTACGCGAGCCTCACGGAATGGGCCCCCCAAGCAGAAAGCTGGGTGGCCACGGAGGGCAGGAAGTACCAGCTCCTCACTCCCGTCGAGACCCACATCTGCTCCGCCAACGCTTCGGGCACCTTCCTGAAGATTGGTAAGGACGACTGGGAACCCTCCAAGTGCGACGCAGTCCCGACGCACCAGTCGGCCAGCGGCTCCTCGGGGGGGCGAAACGATCTCAGCCCGCAGGCACCTCGCCTGCTCTGCGTTCGACGGTCTGCGCAGCTACACCGAGAACGTGCACCAGGCCGACCCCTGCTGCGGCTTCGCCCCGCTGACTTGGCACCTCAAGACGGGCAACCTCGTGGTCGTCGTCTTCTGCGTCGAGCCGCGCGACCCCGCCGCGGGGCCCGCCCTGGAGCGCTCCGTCGCGATCTCTGTCCTCCCCCGACATGCTGGCCGACCCACGGCCGGTCACCGGCGACTGGAACACGTCGCCCACAGCACTCGCCGCGTCGTGCTGCCCTGAGAAATGGGACGCAGCATCGCGGTCCCCGACGTTACGGCCACACGCGACTGGGGCGGGGGCTCCCTCGCCGGCAACGCGGTCGCCAGGCACCGCTGCGCGGACGCCAGCGCCCTGCGACTGGTACACGACGCACCTTGGGGCGCGCACGTCGGCATTGAGGTCCGCGCAGGCGCAGCTGACACACGGTGGCATCAGGCTGACCCGAACAGCAAGGCCAGCCGTCGCCGAGCCATCCGACTACAATAGCGACGCGAAGCTCTTGACGACGCGATGCTCTTGACGCTGAGCTTCGCGAAGCTTTCGATGACATCCAAGAGGAGGTGCCTGATCGGGGAGACCACCAAGCGCGACAAGGCCTGCCTGCTGACCTCGTCAGCTACCACATCCCCGTAGACCGGCAGCAGCTCAGCGTCAACATCACCGCTGCGGCGGCCACCCCACCGGGTACATCCTGGACTACCCCGCCTGGCCCCCCCGGCTGCGCCCCCAGCGCGGCCCCTGATAAGGCCGGGGCCCGGCCCGCTACGCGCGCCCCCCCCCCCGAGGACGAGCCGCGCCTCGCCGCGAGCGCCCTGCTGGCCGAGCGGTCCTGCCCAGCGGGTGGGGCGAGGGATTCGCTGGAGGCGCCGACGCGCGGCGGCAGCTCATCTGCTCGCAGATTACCTCATCTGCAACACAGACGGCAACAGCAGGAAACGCTTCAGCTACGCGGCCTTCACCACGCGGCACTGCCGCGGACATCGTCGACGACCATCCTCCGAAGGCGCCACGGTGGAGGGAGCTTGCCCCGAATCCAAGAGCATGGCGCCAGCGGGAGGGGGCCGCCAACCCGAACCCCCCTCGACGCCGACAGCCCCGAGCTCGGCGACCACGGGCCCCTCGACATCCCACGAGGGAAAGCCGATCCCTTTCAAACAAAAGAGGTCGGTTGCTGACTTGGCGCTCGCGGCCACGGCGCCCCAGGCTGGGGTCGGGCCGGCCCTGGGAAAAGCTGAGGCCCTGAACGCCGCTGCACGGCCGCAACTTCCTCGATTGCCAGGTCTGGCCGACGAACCGCTCCCACTTGTATTTCGCGGCCTCTCTGGATACTGACGGTTCACCCACTTCTTCGCGAACGTCCTGCGCCAGCTGATCACGCTCGCGACGCGAACGCCGTCGGGGTCTCCGCGCGCGAGCGCGCCGCCCTCGGGCACCACGGCGCCGCCGACGAAGACCAGCTGCAGCACGTCGGGCGCGCCAACCCGATCAAGTTCTGCTAAGAGGCCACGAAATCACCGGGCCACGCCCACATCAAGCACGAGGAGGCCGAGCGGTGGGCCATTATGCACACCCCTAACAAGAAAGCGGCCGCCTGCACAAGCACGAGAATCACCCCGACCTCGTCGGCTTCACCATCAACTTGCTGAACGAGCGCCTACCGAGCACCGACGCCAAGCGCGACCTGCACCTCTCCAAGACTCGACGAGCACGAGGTCGCGCACTGGCTGCGCCTCGCCAAGCACCTCACCGCCAACGATGACGACGAGACCTGCGAGCTCCTCAGCACCGCCGCCAACTGGGCCAACCACGCTGCTGCCCGCGCCTGCAACATCTACGAGAAGAAGCACGCAGGCTGGCCGCAAGGCAAGTGGCAGGGCCGGCATGGAATGCCACGCCGACGAGTCAAGCCGCAGCAGACGGACAAGCTCGAGATCCACGTCTCCTCCAACACCGTCGCCAGCATGCGGACCAAGGCCGAATCCATGAAGACGACCTGGAAGCCGCGCAGGCCCATCGAGCAGGTCAGATTGGCCATCGACAAGGCCTGGACCGCGACCACGAGCAGGACCTGCCCACCATCGAGCTTCGCGACCCACCGAGGTTCTGCGCGCCACGCCGTCCAGCAAGGCCAACGGCGTGGACGCGATGGGGCCGCGAGACCGTCTTCTACTACTTGACTGCGCCCTCCAGCAACGCACTGACCTCCGCAACGCCATCGAAGACCACGCCATCTAGCCGCCCCAGGTCAACATGACCGTCGCGGCCATGGCTTCCAAGAAGAGAAGGGGGCGACCGCGCGCTGGGGGCACTGCCCAACATCGCGTGGGCATGGAGCCGACTGCGAGGCGGGCCCTGCTACATGTGGAGCGACGGCTCGCACGACGTTTGGTGCACGGCCACGCGCGGCTTCTCCGCGTTGGCTGCCGCCCTTCGCAGAGCTTTCCTGGGCGAGCCCGCCACCCCCATGGGCGTCGCCGTCGCCGCGCTGCTCATGGACCGAGAAGTTCTACGACCCCGCCCCGCTGGGCAAGCTCACCGAGATCGGCCTTGAGGAGAACTTCCCTGCGGTTGTCCTCAGCATGGAGGTCCAGCTCTGCATGGCGCCTTGGGTGCGTCGCCCTCGAGGCTGGGTCTCCAAGCCCATCGAGACCTGGCATGTCATCGCAACGGGTTCCTCACGGGGCGCTCTTCTGGACAGGCTCTTCTTGCCCCCTATCTTGAGCCACGTCGTGGGCCTTCGCCGACGACGCGGTTGCCTTTGTCGACGACGCGGTTGCGCGAGCGGGGGGCACTGCACGACGGGCTCCGATGGCCATCGCTGCTGCCGGCCAGGAGCTTTAGCAAGCCTCGCGCGTCGCGGGGCCCCCAGTCTCGGGCAAGACAGTTCTCCTCGCCAACAACCTCAAACTCAGGCGCTCCTTGGTCCAAGAACTGCGACGATATGGACTCCCAGTCTCAAGCGCCACGGCGGCCACCGACCTCGGGATCGACGCCGCTGCAGGTGCCAGACGAGTTCAAACCAAGGCACGCTCCAGAGCCCCAGCCACAAGGACACGCACAGGACAGATCGTGCGGATGAGGCAAGCAGCTCGACAGGCCAGGATACCACGAGGTCTCTGGGCAACCGAAGCCTGACCTCAATGAGTCCACGGGCACCAAGTTCGTGGACTTGCCAGACATGCTCCTCTACGTTGGCGGCGACAAGCAACACTGGCCGAGGCAGGCCAGGCTGCTGGGCGCCGCCTCACCACCCTCCTGGGCGCCAGCTTCGACGGCATGGGCCCTGGAGTTTCACTATTCCAACAACTG